TTTTTCCCATTTGGGAGAACAAATGGGTCAGATAAGGTGTTTTCGAATAAAAGTGGTAGATTGTTTAAATAGAGGTTAAATAAAAGAGGGCTTAAAATACAGCCTTGACGTACACCTCTGGAATATGAAAAAGGCTGTGTTTTGTTTTCACCGATTTTGATGGAACATGTCGAGTTGCAATAAAGACTTTTCATGAGGTTGTACAAGTTTCCTCCTATATTCGTTTTTAGCAGCTTATAAAACAATCCTTCGTGCCAAACAGAGTCAAACGCTTTGCGGAAATCTACGAAACAAGCGTAGACTTTTTCCTTGTGATAATGCACATATTTATCTATTAGGGTCCTTAGAGTGAAAACATGGTCTGCAGTGCGGTTTTCAGGCAAAAAAGCCAATTTGGGAATTATGTAATATCTTATTTTCCTCAAAATACAAGTGAAGTCTTCGATTTAAAATAGAACAGAACAGTTTTCCAAGGCAACTAGAAACACATATGCCTCTGTAATTTGTTGGATCACTCTTGTCACCAGATTTGTAAATTGGGGTTATGAGGCCTTGACACCAAACATCTGGCATTTTTCCGGATTGTAAAATGAGGTTAAAAAGTTTGACATAGACAGGCATTAGTGGTTCGAGGCTTGCTTTGATCATTTCATTTCGTATTTTGTCAACAAATGGTGATTTCTTATTTTTCAATTTCTTCGCCGCTTGACGTATTTCCCTCTCAGTTATCTCATAATCGAGATGGTTAAACTGTTCCTTTTCGTGTCCTAAAGAATTTAGTTCCCTATGGATTTCATGTTCATGCGTGGAATTCGTCGGGTCAATAGAATGCAGAGATTTGAAATGGTGAAGCCATGATTCTTCCGAGATTGGGGCAGGAACATTTTCGTTGAAAGTGTCGCTCATCGAATTTAAACAATTCCAAAATGACGCCTTGTCAGGATTTAAAGCTAGTTCGTCGAGTTGTAATGTTTTTTCTTCGTGGAATCCTCTCTTCTTTGTGTCTAGGAGCTTTTTGTAATCATTCAAGGTTTTGTGATATCTTTCCCGCACTTCGGAGTTGAGGGGGTCATGGTGCTTTTCATTTGAGACTTTTCGTAATTCATGCCTTTTCAAGCGACATTCACAATCGAACCATTTCTTGTTGGATGATTTTTAATACGCTTATAAGTTTTCTTAGCTTTAATTTTTAGGCATAGCTTGGAGGTCTCAGTTAGAATTTTCATAACGTTTTCTAAGAAGATATTCAAATCTTCGGTGCTTCTCTCCATATATTGTTTAATTAGAATTTGGATTTGTTCCGTGTCTAGTGCGTTTTCAAATTTTGTGGTAATTTTGATAAAATCTGTTGCTACTATTTGGAGTGTGCGTTTCGTCTCCAATTAGCCTGGTGTTAAGATTAGCCACGGCACGATGGTACTATGATCCGATAAATACGATGGCTGTTTAACAACAAAATTTGCAACGTTAAGAAATGTACACTGATCACATATTAGATAATCAATAACGCTCGTCCCGTTTTTCCATGAAAAGTGGGTCTGCCTAGGGTATCTCCATTAACTCTGCCATTAACTATTCTTAGGTCAAAGGTTTTACAAATTTCCAACAGCCGTTTCCCATGGCTATTTAAAACATTATCAAAACTGTTTGTTTGAGTTGGCTGGAAAACAGATTCCGACTGATCATTACTAATTGTACTGTTTCCCTCCTTTGAGACAGTATCAGAGTATTTCCCGGTTCTCGAGTTAAAGTCACCCATGAGAATTATTGATCCTTTCGAAGAAAAACGTACTATGTCTTGTTCTAGCTGATCAAAAATTTCGTTATCAAAGTATTTTGAGTTACAGGGGGGTATATAGACACCACAGACGTAAATATTCTTCACTGAATTTAGAAAACGATTCTCAATTTTAAACCAAATAAAATGCTGAGTTGTTTTTGTGATGCAAATGTTTTTATGGAATTTGTTCTTATAAAATAAAGCGATTCCTCCGGAGTTACGCCCACCTCGTAGTCGTAGTCGTAGTAGTAGTAGTAGTAGTAGTAGTAGTAGTAGTAGTAATAGTAATAATAGTAATAAATTGCTTTATTTGCATGACCGTAGTAGAAGAAGAAGAAGAAGAAGAATACTTTATTTATCCACGGTTGTCTCATCAGGCATATCTATAATAATTAATTAAAATTTAACATTTAACATTACAAACAATTTTATATATTACTACTTTACTTATTTACAAATATAAAATATAAAATATAAAACCCTGCTTTCCACGAGAGCCGTGCATTACTAATCTAAAAACTATAACTAATTGTAGTAGTAGTAGTAGTAGTAGTAGTAGTAGTAGTAGTAGTAGTAGTAGTAGTAGTAGTAGTAGTAGTCGTAGTCGTAGTCGTAGTCGTAGTCGTAGTCGTAGTCGTAGTCGTAGTCGTAGTCGTAGTCGTAGTCGTAGTCGTAGTCGTAGTCGTAGTCGTAGTAGTCGTAGTCGTAGTCGTAGTCGTAGTCGTAGTCGTAGTAGTCGTAGTAGTAGTAGTAGTAGTAGTAGTAGTAGTAGTAGTAGTAGTAGTAGTAGTAGTAGTAGTAGTAGTAGTCGTAGTCGTAGTCGTAGTCGTTGTCGTAGTCGTAGTCGTAGTCGTAGTCGTAGTAGTCGTAGTCGTAGTCGTAGTCGTAGTCGTAGTAGTAGTAGTCGTAGTAGTAGTAGTAGTAGTAATAGTAATAAATTGCTTTATTTGCATGACCGCATCACTTTACAGTATTGCAAAAGCATGTATATGACAATCAAAATAAAAAAAACAAAACAGCACTAATAACAATCTAGAAAAATTCGGTTACATTACTAACAATGAATCACGTATTTTCATGCAGGAGGAGACAAACTTCATAACTAACTTATTTACATGATGTTCCTTCGAATTCATTATCAGTTTTATGCGTTCCGGAGATGATTTCTTGTCAAAGTCAGGTATTATTCGATTGATTTGATTAATAAATGCCTGTCTCTGTACTGAGTATTTGTTACATTGAAAGATGAAATGAATCTCATCTTCTACCTGATTTGAGTTACATAAAGGACATAATCTATTTTCTCTTGGCAAATGATCGATTTGGTATCGACCATGTTCAATCATAAGTTTGTGATTACTTATTTTAAATTTAACAAAATTCTGTCGTTCGTCATAATGTCTTAGCTGGTAGAGATAATCAGATGTAGAATATTCATCTTTAAAAGTTTTATAAAATTCTAGTTTTTTTGAATTTTCGAGGCTATGCCGCCAAAAAGATAGATATTTCTCTCTCATTTCTGTGGTATATCGTCTAATTTTATCATTATCTAGAGATTCAGCATCTAAACTGGTTAGATTGTATTGTTCAAGCATGTTTATGAAATTGGAAAAATATCCGGAATTATTCATAGAATGTAGATTCTTTGACATAAGGAAAGACTGTTTGACTATAGAGTCATTATCTTTGTTGTTGAGGTAAACAAAATATTTCATAATTTTCTGATTTATCGGGATAAGCAGCGGCAGTCTATCAAGTTCAGCTCTGCAGGCTATGTTAGAGGCCTTATTGTTAACCTCTAAGTAACGTTTACAGAATTTGAGGTGGATTTTTTCTATTGGGGAGCTATCCCATTTTTTAAAATCTTGCTTGGTGTACATTCCCCATACCTCGCTGTTGTAACTCAAGATTGGGAATACCATGGTGTCAAAAATTTGGGATGCAGTATTAGGATTAAGTTTGTTAAGAATTGTCCGCTTCCGAATACTAGAAAACGCGTGAAGGGCCTTTTCTTTTAAGTGTTCGAGTGCAAGTGTAAAGTTTCCCGTTGGAGTTAAACGTGTACCTAAATAAGTGTATTCTTGGACAATTTCAATTGACTCACTGCCTATGTTGAATTTGATGTCAATAGATTTTTTGGGGCGTTTCTGGAATATCATAATTTTTGTTTTCTTGGGATTAATTTTTAGCTTCCATTTGTCACAATACAAAGAAAGCGCATTTAAACAGTTCTGTAATCCAGTTTTCGATCTTGATAGAATAACTAAATCATCTGCGTAGAAAAGTGAATTTATTTTTTTCCCATTTGGGAGAACAAATGGGTCAGATAAGGTGTTTTCGAATAAAAGTGGTAGATTGTTTAAATAGAGGTTAAATAAAAGAGGGCTTAAAATACAGCCTTGACGTACACCTCTGGAATATGAAAAAGGCTGCGTTTTGTTTTCACCGATTTTGATGGAACATGTCGAGTTGCAATAAAGACTTTTCATGAGGTTGTACAAGTTTCCTCCTATATTCGTTTTTAGCAGCTTATAAAACAATCCTTCGTGCCAAACAGAGTCAAACGCTTTGCGGAAATCTACGAAACAAGCGTAGACTTTTTCCTTGTGATAATGCACATATTTATCTATTAGGGTCCTTAGAGTGAAAACATGGTCTGCAGTGCGGTTTTCAGGCAAAAAGCCAATTTGGGAATTATGTAATATCTTATTTTCCTCAAAATACAAGTGAAGTCTTCGATTTAAAATAGAACAGAACAGTTTTCCAAGGCAACTAGAAACACATATGCCTCTGTAATTTGTTGGATCACTCTTGTCACCAGATTTGTAAATTGGGGTTATGAGGCCTTGACACCAAACATCTGGCATTTTTCCGGATTGTAAAATGAGGTTAAAAAGTTTGACATAGACAGGCATTAGTGGTTCGAGGCTTGCTTTGATCATTTCATTTCGTATTTTGTCAACAAATGGTGATTTCTTATTTTTCTTTTTTTTCTTATTTTTCAAGTAGTAGTAGTAGTAGTAGTAGTAGTAGTAGTAGTAGTAGTAGTAGTAGTAGTAGTAGTAGTAGTAGTAGTAGTAGTAGTAGTAGTAGTAGTAGTAGTAGTAGTAGTAGTAGTAGTAGTAGTAGGAGCAGCAGTAGCAGTAGTAGTAGTAGTAGTAGTAGTAGTAGTAGTAGTAGTAGTAGTAGTAGTAGTAGTAGTAGTAGTAGTAGTAGCAGCAGCAGCAGCAGTAGTAGTAGTAGTAGTAGTAGTAGTAGTAGTAGTAGTAGTAGTAGTAGTAGTAGTAGGAGTAGTAGTAGTAGTAGTAGTAGTAGTAGTAGTAGTAGTAGTAGTCGTCGTCGTCGTCATCGTAGTAGTAGTCGTCGTCGTCGTCGTCGTCGTCGTAGTAGTTGTAGTAGTAGTAACAAACAAAAGCCTCGTTCATTTCCTTCATTAGAAGACTAAAAGGAGCTTCACGACTTTTTCGTTTTTGTTTTCAGGGACATGTCAAACAACGAACTACGACTGATTGCAAGTTCCAATTTTACGGGTCTAAGCAAACTACTTGTTCTGTAAGACTCGTAAATTCACTCATTTTTATTTTTGGTCAATGAAACATGCTTTTGCATGACAAAAAGTCACTTTTTACTTGCAGGATTCTTGGAAACAATAAGATTGAAAGGGTGGAAAATAGGAGTTTTGCCAGTCTAACATCACTTAGTGAACTGTAAGTGTGCACTGAATAAAGCTATTATGCACTGCCTTGGGACAATACTGGGTTTTAATTTCCAACGATGCTGGTGACTAAATTTTTACAGTTCACATAATCAGTGATACTACGGAGTTTCTACAGACCCCTGATTTAAGATAAGGGGACACCCCTCCCTTCTCTTCCTTACACCATCAACATTACCACCCCCATTTAGGCAGACTACAGACTGCCCAAACTTTATGGAAGATCGTTGGACTTTGAATTTTATAAGAGAATGTATAAAATAAACAAAATACATTCTAAATTCCACTGAAAAAATTAAAATAAAAATGACTCACCCTGTGTTCGTGTTTCTTTCTGTCTGTTCGCTTCTAGAGCCATTTGGAAGCCGTTTTATCGAGTTTTAGATTTTGAATTGTAATAACAATACGTTTCAGTCTTATTGTTAGTACAACTATCTTCTCTAATCATTCATCCTTAACTGCATAAGGACAGGTCACGAAACAGTACGTAATTTCCAAGTTGCTATTGGCATTATGAACCCTTTTAAGAGGTGATGGAGACGATAGGAGGAACTAACTGGGCATGGCTATATATTATAAACTGCAAGAGAGGGATCAACATGAAAAAAGCAGGACTAAAAGTGCATGAACTCTATTGGACTTAATCCGCGTAAAGTTAAACTTTTACCCCCGACAGAAAAGTTTGGGCAACTGCAGGCCTAAACTCCTTAACAGTCCCCTCCCCAAATATAAAACTCGTTACCAGGCTGCTTCAAGAGAGGGGTATAACTTAAAATATGTCGGAAGTTTGTCTTGACAATTGGTGCTTTCTTATCTGCAGTGATTTGTCCAAAAACCGTTTACGAAAGGTGTATAGGGAAACCTTCTATGGACTAAAATACCTCCACTATTTGTAAGTGGCCTTCACTGCAATATTAAAACAGGCCCAAATTACCCGAGTAACGTGGGGTGCGCTTACAGAATTCCTTTTAATTTGCAACCTGTATAAACAGTTAACAGGAATCTTAATTACTCAAACGCACTTATACCAGCGAGCATCACCGATCAGTGTATAATTACAAGAAGATGTACAAAACCATAGTTACCTTTCTACCCAGACATGTCGGGCATTATAAGTTTCTGGGAAACTGCCCAACTACCCCTCCCCTAAGCCAACATTAACACTTACTTCTCACCTTGGGCAAAATGTTGGCTTAGGGGAGGGGTAGGTGGGCAGTTTCCCAGAAACGCATAATGATCCAACATATCTTTCTTTCCAACTGAGTGGACTAGAGTCACCAGGGCCAAGAAAACTTGGCCATTCCCTTCGTTACCTAAATTAAGGTCAGGCCGGTTCTTCAAACGCTGGATAGCGCTATTTATCAACCCGATAATCCAATATCCAGAAGATAAGTATTGGGAAACCAATATTGCGCCATCTTATGGATAAAGATCTACCCAGTAGATAACGTTATCTACCTTTTTAACAAATGAGGCCTGGATGTGTCTGAATTTTTTTTGGACCGAGAAACATTTATATCATATATTTTCTCTTTTTTTCAGGAAATTGGGAGAGAATCTTATTCAAGTGATTGATGCTACTACTTTTAAAGATAGTTCTTTCTTATTTGAAATGTAAGTTATTTTTTTCATTGTCATACCACAACCTAAGGCTGACCAAGTGATAGCACGCGAAAATTGGAAATTATTCCATGCGCGTTGATCTCAGTTTCTTTTGCTTTTTAGAGATTTGAGGGAAAACAACATCAGCAAGATGGATAAACAACCTTTCCAGACGCTGATGTTTCTTCAATCTTTGTAAGAGGATTCAACTTTTTGATAGGTCACGTCCACACAACGTTTTCGGGAAAACTCTGCTCTTGGTGTTATCCTTGAAAACACTTCGAAACCTCCGGTTCAATGCACACTAGCGTGGTTGCGTCGTTTTCGAACGTCTTGATTAATCCATCGAAAGCACCCATCTAGTGGTACGTTTCCGTTCCCAGGCTTTTCTCGGACGTGCTGTTTTCAATTCGCACATTGTTGCTTTGTTATAAGCAAACCCGGATCTTGCATGAATGTTCCACCCTGAACATCCGAGGGCTGAGATGTATAGAATGATTCAGGACCGTAGGAGTTAGATAAGGAAGAGAAGGGCATCCCACTGTGACCGGCAGACGGGCTAGAGCGCAGGGGCAACCTTTTCCGAAAAAAAAAAACAAGACAGCAACAAAACTGAATAAAACAGAAAAATATTCAAATTGACTTAAGCCATTGCTGAATTTAAATTTTAATAATGTTCAATTCATTTTTATCAAAATTCCCTTTAATTCCGTTTAGGAATCTTGATGGAAATGAATTACAACATGTTCAGATACAGGCTGGCATGAGCCGTCTTTCAGTCTTGTAAGTAACCAAAAGACATTACAGTTCATTATTCACCTTAAATTTATTTAACATAAACAGGACTGTGAACCTTGCTTACATGCATCAAGAATCTTTTAAGCTATTACGTGTACTTCCATTCGCGCTGCGCTTACGACAAATAACAGTAGCCACATTAAGAGACCACCAATACTGATACCTGTACGTTTGCAGAGTAGTTGTTACAGTAAGTTCCAAAAATAACCCTTTGGAGCTGAGTCACTGTTTCAGTAAAGCTTGAGAAAAGTGTACATGAAAGAAAGCCCTTTCAAAGTTCTCTACTGACAGCATCAAATAGAGAGAGGCAACTTCTTGTTTAAATTAGACTGAGTGTGAAGCTGATTTTATAATGGTGCTATTCAACAGCTGAACCCCGGAAAGCAAACCCTCAAACTTTCTCTAAATTCAACCTCCAAGCTTATTACGGAGACCCCGTTAATACGAACAATTTCTATGGCCCTTTCAGTGCCCCCTTTAACGGGGTTTGACTTATTGTTTTGTCTTGTTTAGGAAATTACGTCATAACAAGATCACCACAGTACCTTCTTGGTCATTTCCTGGATTTCCGATCCTCTATTTCTTGTGCGTATTCGGGTTTTTTTTTTTTAAACAGAGATATTGCAAAACACTCAAGCGTTTTTCACAGGTGTTTCTTATGGTCAAAGCAAAACCGGGCTTAAAGGTCATTTTTTGAGTTCAAAAATGCAAAGTATAATCCGGTTTATGCAAGAAGAAAAGGCAAACTCTTTGTCTATTTGAGAATCTGTGTTAGGTATTTAAATAGTTGTCGTTTTTGTTTTTTTACCGCTATAGCTTTCTTTGGAACAGTCTTTAATAAACTTTATTCGAGGCTTTCACTAGCTCAAACGTAAGAAATTTGGTTTTATAAAACATTTTTGAAACTGCGCATCATTTTGTGTTAGAAAAAGAAACTAAAAATTCAGGTTTATGACGTGTATTTGTTCTTAAGATCACAAAAAAAGTAGTAGTATTCAATGCGTTACTTGAAATAACGTACTTTAAATTATTTAGGGATCTTTCATACAACAACATTGCGATCATTGATCCAGAGGCATTCAGTGAGCTTCCTGCAGTTTTGGTTCTGTAAGTCAAAAGTACAGCGTTCATTTTTTGGAAATAAGAAGAGTTTCGTTTCATCGCTCTTAAAGTTCAATATTATTTATATTTAGTAAAAGCAATCTAATTGTACTTGAACAACACTAATTTTTTTCAACCGCAATTACTAGAAACATAACTGGATCAAAGCGTGTTCAGTCCATGGATTTGGTACTCTGACGTTTCTGTTACACCTCCCAAATAAAACGTAATCAATTGGACGAGAAGGTGTCACATTTTAATGCTCTAGCAAAACTTTGTTTCGATCGTTTGGTCAGATTTTGGAGGATTAATAACGGTGCAACTGAAAAGATAAGTTTTACATCAGTTCTCTGAGCACGCTACCAAGAACGTTTTTTTTTAATTTTGGTTTTTAAATTGTTAGGGAGGTTTGTGGTCTATTAGTTTGTCCTGCCTATAGGCCTGGATAATGGTTTTTGATCGTAACAAAAACCCTCCAAGTGGTAATTTATAACAAAAGACAACATATTTTAATAGCCTGCGAGCAAGCTCTCCTGGGCGCTCTGGCGGCGGGACGGGAAAACGAAGGAGAGCTTGCAACTACGTCTCTGAAATTTGAATTCCACTTCCAATTCCCCTGTGGCTTCCCGCCAACTGGTCTGTCAGATTTCCACCAATCAGCGCGAACTTAAACAAACATTGAAAACACGTGTCATCTCCGCCTTCAGCATTCTGTATCGACTTTTGAAATGCACATACCCAGAGCGTCCCGAAGAGCAGTCTCTTTCCCAGAGGCCGCGATCCTTTTGTACAGCGACGGCGGAGGCTCTGGAGACGAGATTGGCCGGAGAGCTTACTCGCTGGTTAATATTTTAAATGTTTTTTTAAAGGCTACTTAGCAATAATAACATTTCATCTTTGGCAAATGGAACTCTCACAAGAATGACCCTCCTTGGGTACATGTAAGTAACATATCAACGGCATGAAATACTTCTAAATATAAACTAGTAATAACCAAAGGTTACGAAGTGCGGGCGACAACCATCGAAGGTCAAAAAGCTTTTGCTCCAGCGCTGTATTTTGTGTAAGTTTCACGTGACAGATGGTCAAAACACGCGTGATCAAGGTGCGTTCTGTGCATTTCATACATTCTTAGTGGAAGTCCAATC